TTTTCAGGGAATAATTCAGTATTCAGTATTGGTTAGTTTTTAATGAATATTTGCGAACTTAAGGGAGATGCCAATTGTTTAAAAATAGCCTTGTTTGTAGAGCGAATTCAGTGCTACAATAAAAGTTGTAACGGATATTTCGCTATTTCTCTTAGATTCGGCAATATTCTTTGAAAACTCAGCGAACAGCTAAGTCGACATGAACCGGTTTACTGCTCCGTTTGCTCGTACACGAAATGTAAACGAAAAGTTTTTTCGTTTCAAGAACATTCTCGGATTTTCTAACATGGCAAATATTCAGAGATTTTTTGAAAATTATGTAAAATTCCCGAGGCTTCTGGAAAACTTTAGAAAAATTTCAGGTTTTTCAGAAAATTGGCAATCGTTTGCAGATAATTGAAAAAAAAATAGGATGTAAGGGGTTCATTTGTTAAAAGACTTATTGTATTTTCGTCAAATTCCTCGTAACGATCATTCTTTCCCACCACCCATTCAATCTGTTAACATGCGATCGCCGTAAGTGGTTATATTTGCACCGATCCGGTATCATATTCAACTTCCCAAGAAGATATTGAATGTCAGTATCTCACGACATGTACCAAGCCATATAACTCGACTGCAATTCAACCCAGTGAAGTCCAAGCAAAGTGTCTGAATTTTCCCATCCGATGGGTTTCTCGCCACCATTCCACCTATCCCCTGCCTGACGCAGAAATATCATCTGCATCATGAACATACCCAAAAGATAAAACTCACAAGCTCCATTTACAGAGTTATAAAACAGTGAAGCCAGGGGTGTTGTGATGGCATGTGAGGCTCTCCCAAAACGACGAAGCAAGGACTAACAGTCGAAAAGGAAGGCGTACCACAGGCTGGAGTCGAGACTCCAGGCAACGACAAAGTAGTATGAATAATTCAGGGTATCTCGATACGGTCAACTTGACCGAGAGAACTCCTTCCCCCCCGCCCCTCCCTCCATTTTTCGCCAAAGCACCAAGAGCGACGGATTCTCGTTCTACTCTCAATCGCCCAGAAACCTCTTCTGCAATTTTTACTTTTATTTATTCTCATTCGTAACTCGTGGACTGTTTCTCCAGCAACTGCTCCCAAGTATTTCTTCCTCTTTTATGCCTTTTATTTCCATACATGTACTCCTTGTCGGAGCGTGTCGCGCCCGTGAGATTAAGATCGCAAGGATTGACTGTCAGCTGCCAGTCTGCGCCCTCGTCCCCCCCTTATGTGTTCTCTCCTCCGCTCAAAATGCACTTCTTCCTTCCTCACTGGGACTTTCCATGTGCACTCCATCTACGGATAAGATGTATCTTACTGAATCGAGAAGCAAAAATGCTGGTTGTGCGCACACCAACGCGTGCTACCAAGAGCTTGATGCTCATGGAGATCACAGGTGGCCTCATTTTCATATTCACTGGCTCGTTCCTTTTTCAAACCCCTTCCTGAATTAATTACGATGTCTCATTTCTCAAGTGCACTTTTTCATGTCATTTCGAGATGTTCTCAACGATTTCTCAGGCTCGTGCGCAGTAGCTGGCCTCAGGGATTAGCTTCATTTGTATCCAAACTCCCACCAGTGTGTTAAAATGTATGGGGAGCACCTTTTCTATGGATTCCAAAGGTTTATCCCACCAATGGATTCTCGAAGCAGACACCCGGTATGCATGGCTCAGTTGCCTCTACCTTTTGGCTCTGGCCCTCTTCTCCCATGCGCATCTTTTGAGGTTCTCCTTGCCGCCTAATTGTATCGGGTGTCTTAATCAGCGTGTAAGCTACCGAGTCAAAGGCCGTGCCGAGTCAGTTCGTCTTGTCTGTTGAAAAAAAATGTACGGACGTTCTTTTTTCACCTTACCTTAGATCCTTTAACATTTTTTTCCTCCGTCTTCTTTCCGTCCCGGTGCTCTGCATCTCAAAGACGCAATTTAAAGAGAGTATGTTAAGCCCGTCAGGCATTACGAATTTTATCTACCTTGTAGAGGGTATTGGGGCTAACGATGTAACCTGTAAAGAGGTAATTATTCAATCAGCTTTTTCAATGGGGGACGGAATATTGATGGTTGGTAATAAGGGCACATGTCGGGAATGAAGTTGGAGGATTTTACTGTTTGATACAACGTGTGTCATACAGGGGTGTACTGAGAAAAGTAAAGTTTTTTGGTAAGTACGTGTTCACTTGTGTCAAGAAATTCATGGCTCGAAAATAGACAAGAGGAAAATATCTTACACTGTGAAAGAAATAACTTTCGTCAAGAAGTTTTGTACTTGTCCTGAAGACGAGAATAGTTTGTTCCTGCCAAAAAAGATTTCTTATACCTTTTGGTTTGATGTCTCAAATCAAGTCTAGTTGAATCGATTTATTGAATAGTGTTTAAGGTACTTTCTCAGTGAATTATACGTGGTGAAAATTTCGCAATGAACTGAAGACCTAAAATTTGGATCATATGTTGTTGAGCACATGTGAAAACGACATGTTCCCAAAATTTCAAGTATTTTTTCCACGCGAATTTTTGAGATATGCATCGACAAAGACTTAAAAAAGACAAAAATTGAATGTTTGACGATGGTTATCTTAAAACTTCACGTGGGAAAAATACTTGAAATTTTGCGGGTCCTCAACAACAGATGATCCAAATTTTAGGTCTTCAGTTCATTGTGAAATTTTCACCAAGTATAACTCACTGAGGAAGTACCTTAAGTATCAAGTAAAAAATATTTTTATGCAAAAACCACTTGACTTGGTTCTAGAAGTTGCTTCCTTGTTGTGAACAAATTGCCCCTCATCTTTCAGACAAGTACAAAATCTCTTGACGCAAGGTTTCATTTCTCAGTGTGAGATATTTTCTTCCTGTCAATTTTCGAGCGATGACTTTCTTGATCCAAGTAAAGAAGTGCTTCTCAAAAAACTTGTTTTCTCAGTGTGACAGAACGACGATGGTTCGTTAGCAATCAGAGTAGAATTGTCGTCTCCTAGAAAAGAAAGTAATCGGGAACAGCCGAAGAAGAATGTTCTGTTGAAGAACACGATGAGATTGAAGGTTTCAAGTGCCCCCATGGCCAGGGCAGAGGAATTCTATTCCAAATTAGATTGAAAAGACACCTTTTAGAAGTACTGATAACAATTGTACGGCTGCAATTTCCAGTACACTATTAGGAAATTTCTGTCATCTGCTGTTTCCACTGAAAATTCAAGGAATTTGCTCATTGAAAATTCAAAATTTTGTAGAAAAATCATTCTTGGATGTGTTAAACTTTGAAAAGAGCCATGACATTCACATGAGAGTCCATATGTGGCACACTGAGAGGAAAAATTAGCTGTGCTGAAGAACTATGTTCCGCGTGAGAATATTTGATGGAGTGGAACAGATTTACTTGGGAGCAGACATAATCGAAATTTTGAATTACAGTTGAATTCGGAATAAGTCAATTGTTAATATTACTCAAGAATTTTTTCATTTTAAAAATACCCATCAATTTAAATTTCAAGTTCCGAATTATTTTACCAATCATCAACTTAAATATTCAAATTCGGATTATTTTATCAATCAATAATTGAGAAATTGAATTACCAGTTACAATATTAGTTTTAAAATTTCAATTACGATAAATAAATCTAAATTACTATAAGGTGCAACTTCTCATAATATTACTAAAAGTAATGATTGATGCCAATCTATGCTTGGGAGAAATGCACCAACTTGATAGAAGGAAATTCAACCCTAGTCTGGTCACCCGACGGAAAAATGCGACTTTAGTCACCTTCGCGGGAGAGTGCCGCCGTGTTATTTAGGCTCCACCGTTGCCGAATCCACTCTACACTTCCCGGGCGCCTTTAGCGAGTTCCTAGCAACGTCGCGCAACAGGCAATTTCATTTAACACGGGAAAAAATTGTTCACCTGTTGGAAATCATTTTTTTTCTCCCAGAATTAAGGATACAATATTGAAACAAACTACTTACGAAATTACTACTACGAAAATTATCATATTTTGAACACTGTTAATCAACAAACGTTCAAACATTTGATAATCATGTTCTCAATTAATCTCAGTGAAATGCTCTTTCAGTCAAGGTTTGTTCTCCGTAAAATAGTGAAGAACGCCCCTCAGAAATGTTAAATCCGTTGATCAAAAAAACTAAATAAATTAGTCTAGAAATTACGCGTTGCTGTTGTCGAATGGAAAGAATTGTTCTCAAATCGGTGATAAAATTATTGATTTCAGGAAATTCAGTAGCGAAGTGGTGAAGCGGTTTAAGTCAATTTTGGCTATTGGCCAGTTTTCAATGAATATCTCGGAATCTAAGAGAGATAGCAAAATTTTTGTTATAACCTTTTTTGTCGAGCCAAGTGAGACCTACAACGAATGTGATTACGAAAATTTCGCTATCTCTCTTAGATTCGGAAATATTTTTCGAAAACTCAACTGGGAGATGAGTCGACTTAAACCGTTTTCCCACTTCGCTGAATTTTTTTCTGTGCAGTTTGTTGGATTCCATCAATATCTTTTGAAGTAGTCACATTTTTCATCTCAATCTCATAATCTGTCTATATTATCAGAATCTTTCCATCCACTGCTGCATATTAAAATCCTAGAATAACATATCAGGGTCAACCCTGCGACATTTAACGATTATCGATTACGAGATAAAAGGTCACCCTGTGCTTCAAAGGCACATGAAATTACAGAGGGGGAGTATGCCACGTGTCGGGCTGTACGCACTGCAGTGAAAAGCAATAAACTTCACTTTTCGACCTTGGTACATCAATTAAATATCAATGAGTCCAAAGTGCATGTTAATGGACTACCCAATATTGATCCCAACTTGTGCAATTCCATTATTTCATTAATTCTTATTGATAAAGTAACATCGAGGAAGTAAAAAATTCAGTGAATCTACTCTCCAAAGAGATGACGAAAATATTTGCTTCGTCGATGTCGGTAATTGAGTGATAATGACGATGACTGATGTTTGTTATGTGGGTGATTCTAGTGGGGCCTATGTTCGGGGGGCGATGCGGCGCAGAGGCGCTGGGTCTGGGCCTCGGGCTGTCGCTGGGCCCGGCCTACAGGTTCGCTCTGCCCCCGGGACTTGCTGCCAAGACCACCCGCTGCCTTGTTTTCGACCAAGGTAGGGCAACACCAGCCATCTTCATTATCGCTGTATTGTTAACACCAGTATTATTTCATTTATTCTCTTACACAATCCCTCACGTAACACGCATGCTTACCTCATACATGGAGTGAAAATTTTGTTAAAAATGAATTCAGTAGCAAAGTGGTAAAAGGAGAGGAGTCAATTTTTACTATTGACCAGTTTTCAATCAATATCTCGGAATCTAAGGGAGATAGCAAAATTTGTAAAATAACCTTTTTTGTGGAGTCGATTGAGTGCTACAACAAATGTAATTACGAAAATTTCGCTATCTCTCTTAGATCTGGAAATATTCCTCAAAACTCGACTGGGAGATAAGTCGACTTGTCTCCGTTTACCACTTCATTACTGAATTATATTATTTAGCATACAGATCAGATTTTATTCTCCGTCAGAGGAATTTTGTTCTGAAGATGAGGGAAATTATTGCGCCGTAATGATTTTTGCATGACACATACTAAATTTTACGTTTCGAACAGTTAATAATGAAAACTTGAAATGGGGTTGATAAATTTCAGAGGTACAGTAATTATCACCATGCTATTTCTTATGAAAATTGTAAGGGTAAAATTTACTAATTTTAATTCCGTAGCGAAGTGGTCAAACGTTTCAAGTCGATTTGGGCTATTGGCTAGTTTTCAATAATTATCTCGAAATCTAAGGAAGATAGTAAAAATTTTCTTATAACCGTTTTAGTAGCACTCAATTCACTCTACAAAAAAGGTTATTATGAAAATTTCACTATCTCCCTTAAATTCGGAAATATTTCTGGAAAACTCAACAAAAGACTAAAGTGATTTAAGGGTGCCAAGTGAATTTGGCGATGACCTTGAAAATTGACATTCACCAACAAAGTTATAATTTTTTAAATTAATAGTATTAGACAGACGGTGAACATCGGTGACAATTTTAAAATTTTAGAACTTATAGATATCGAGAAATTAAATAAACAAAATCAGTCTTATACATGGCCTCTTATGGAGTTTTGATTAAATTGAACGTCAACCCCCTAGGAACTCATGTTTCTAATTCTCCGTGTAGAATTTGTCTGAGGAATTTGTCTCCTCGCAAAAATTTCACCGAAGGGCAATTTCCAAAGGATTTTCCTTCACGTGTAAGTGTCAGACCTGTTCAAACCAAGTAAATCCGCGCCCTCCTCTCAAATATATAGCGTTAACATCACGTGGATGCACGATATACAATTAGTGTCATCACGCGGTAGCACCACCCAGGCTCATATACAGCAAAAACAATTGTACGGATTTATTCCGACAGGCGATGCTCCCATGTGTCTCGTTAACGAGTCGTCATACTTTGCATCTATGAACATGCATTGGTCGCTTCCGTCGTAATCAGATATCATTGCCGGCGTGCTTCCTAATGACTAAACTATTCTCATGCCCCTCTCCACTCGGTTCCTTTCATCCTCATGCAAGCGGGCATGAGTTATCTATTTTTATATATTGAAAACTGAGTCCCATTTGTTACGCGTAATGGATTTTGATTTTGGTCCGCTTGAGTACACCGTTATATTTTTGTCATACATTTTTTTTGTTGTACCTCGTACTCGTCAAATCGCGTGCTTCCAATATCCGGGAATACTTTCATCGCTTTTCAAAATGCCGTTTATCAGTATTCACTTCCGTATGACGGGTTCGGGTTTTTATATTTTCGCTTTTTTTTCCCACTGGTGAAATCGGTGATATTGTGTTTTTGTTATGCTTTAGGATTTAAACGTTTGTCCAATGGTAGTATTAATAATAATGAAATTAAAAATTGTTTCTATTACCAGTGATTCGGCAGCAGCACTGTAATCCATCACACGAATAACAAATTTTTCGGAGTTGTTTGTGCACTCGAAACCTTCAATATGAACATTCCAATTTTGTTCTGATATACATGATGAAATTATCGGAGAGTTTCGAATCAATTTGCGTCGACGCGTTTGCCACCGATATGTCACTCACATATTGAAATTGACTTTTTCAACATGCACAAATCGTATGTAAACCATTTTTCCAGCCATTTGAATCAATTGAGAGAGAAAAAGAGATTATATTTCGTATACAACAACAACACATTCACTGAGTAGAATAATCCCACCAATATTTCAAAAAACTCTTCACTTTTACTACCAAATTAATGTCTGAGCCGTGATAAAATTATGGGAACCGTAATTTTACGGTTACTTTATAGTGGCATGGTCATAAATACGTTTTGTACCTTCTATACAAGCCATGAAGGAGCATTCAAAAATTTTAACACTGACATAAGAAAGAAGGAGTTGTGAAATATTTCGGTATTGAATTTTTTGAGGAGGGGGTATTTAAATTACCAAAAGTAGACGGAGACGGCTTGCTGGGATAGGGTGATAGGGAGGGGGGGAGACAAGTTTGCAAAGTTTTTCAGACGATATCCGGTTAGGGGCAAGTGGATTTCGGCCTTTTCCCGAGGTAATAACGGACGAGACTAGAGGGTGCTTGGGAATTCTCGATATTTTAATAAAGAATATTACATGACGTTGGCTCACTTACTTAGTCACACTCAGTGATTACGATAAATTAACAGCCTTTTCACTTCATACCCCTGACAATCTCACCCAGAGACTACTCCAAGATTATCCGATCATGCAGAGAAAAAAGTTTCGGGTTTTCAGAATAAAGTCAGTGATTTTGAGAAATAGTTCTGGGAGGGACGGTCCTTAGAATAGCAATTTATCCACACATTTTTATATAAAATTGAGTACAATAATCTACGTGAAGAATGTTGTTACCAGAAGCGCAACATTTTTCTGAGGTAAAAACTTCTGTAAAAGGGATTCACGCAAAGAAAATCTCAATTTGAGACTTACGAGCTTCAATTGAGACTTTCGAATGTTCCAAGCCAAGACTTTCAAAAGTCTCAAATTGAGACTTTCAGAAAGATTAAATTAAGATTTTCAAATCTCAAATTAAAACTTGTAAATTTCTATTTGATCCTTTCAAACGTGTCAAGGTGAGACTCCCGGAAGTCTCAATTTAGAATCTTTGAAATTTCAAAATAAGGATTTTTTTCTGGGAACAACATTTTTGCTGGAGACAAGTTGTCAGTGCAAAACTAATCCCGCTCGTTGCGATACAACAAAACTTTCGAAAAACATCCGATAATTTTGAAGGTTTTGGGTAGCTGAATGAAAAAATTTTCTGTTAAAATAACTGAAGTTCTGGTATGGAATCTAGCTTTAACCCGTAAAAACGCTAAGCACCGCATTTCGGGAATATCCAATGAATTTTGAAGGTCCAGCGGTATTCAGAGGACAATTTCCTCAATTCTGATTTCGACCAATCAAAGTGAAGTATTCGGGATTGTGTAACACTTTTCGCCAGAATGTAAGGAAAATCTATCAAAAGAAGGGGAAGTCTCTGGAGGAAAACAATCAAAGCTAGGAAAAAATTTCCGAAAGCTAGAAAAAGATTTTCGTTCATTACCCACGGTAGCTTCATCAAATACTGTACTGAATTAATTGATTCATCAGAAGTCAATCAATTCCATGATTTTTCACCTCTAATCAAATCGGATGCCGCTCCCTTACGAATTACTCCTAAACTGTTCATAAAATCGCAATTGTTTTCTAATAGCGTGCAAAAATTTTTACTGAAAACTACAAACATTTTTCCCTACATCTCATTAGTATTGCATCAATCCTATGATTTAATAATCGACATGCTTGGCAACTGTCTCCAACTATTTCCCAAAAATTCCACCAATTCGATCCCTTCAATTAAACCCCTTTCACGAAACGAAATAGCGAACGTTTCGGGTTTTTCCACTAGAGCGAGCAAAAGAATTGAAATTATTAAATTGTTCACGACGCAATGATGCGAACATTTTTCTCCATGGATGAATCATCCTCCTGGATTCATATACCAGTAGGGCTTGTCGTTAAAAAACCTTCGAACACATTTTGTAACGGTAATAACGGACTGTTTGATTACAAGCCGCAAGGAGAGCAATAGACCTTAATAATTCACACACACTAATTATAGAATGTTCGCCATCCGGAGGTATTATCATTACTAGGAAAGACAATAACATCCCCCCCGCGGGTCAAAACTGGTCAGCGTTGATGGGCATTAAAAAGCCTAACAGTGACCATTAAAATTTCTTTGTACAAGGCAAAAGTGAGCAAGCGTTGAGAGTTGCGAGCGTCAAATATTTAACAGTCATTTTAATCTTTCCATTTTTTATATACCCAAGCGAAAAAGGAGTGAAAAATCTTCAGTCTCCAGTTTCTTGTCCCATCCCGCAGCATCCGTAGAATATTTAATTACTTTTTCCACCGGTCATAAATGTTAATTGCAGATGAAGTGGTAATAAGGGTAAGATCCAGATCGTCCTCGGTACTGTCTACAGTTTTAAAGTGAGATAGGAGAGGATGGATGAAGGGGTGGGGGTTGAATTTTGTGTGCCTTAATTCTCGAGTCCCCTTAATTTCTTACGGCACTCGACGAACGACCGGGACTCGTTATCCGCTCCAGAAAATCCTCCTCTTGTTATTTAATACAAACGGCAAATGCTACCAGTAAAAAAGAAAAAGAAAGGACACCCGGGGGAAAGTGAAATAAAAAGAGGACAATCTGCGCTTGGACGTCGTCACTCGATCAGTGAGAACGCCGAAACTTGACAGAAGATTTTCGGGGAAAATAGAATCCTCGGAGGGAAAAAGAAAAGGTAGTTGCGAGTTTCTATCAACTAAAGAGAAGAAAGAACGGAATTTAATTAAGTGAAATTACTGTCACACGGTGCGAGAAGGAGGTGCCTTGGTTTTCTCATGGTGGATATACAGAAAATTAGAGGAGGGCGGGGGGGGGGGCG